GAGAAAGATGAAGTTATCTTCAGGTAGACTGTAAACTTACTTATGTTGTCTGAGAGTTCAGACTTGCCTTCCTGGTCTGCTTCCTACTCAGGAACTTCTCGGTGAGTGGGGACTCTGTGTGGAAGAAGGGCTTTCCACACTGACGAGGGTTTCCGGTGAAGAATGACAACCTCCGTAGTCTTTTCTATCTCTTCCCAGGTCAGTTGCCCCATGGCACGTAGTGCCTGGGGGTAGGCTGCTGTGGTAGGAAAGATGCACACTGGATTATCAAGACTTACTGCAGAGTAATGAAAAATTGCTCATTAATTGTATATCAGGATGCTATGGTGGAGCAGATGCGATCTATCTGTATAATTAATTAATATAACTATGATACTTATTTTTTCATGTGACTTCTAGAAAATTTTATGGTACATGTGTGCATCACATCATATTTCTATTAGATAATTCGTCTTGATACATGTCTTCATTTCAGTATCAAGTCAATCATTTGGAGTAGGATAGAATGATCCCATTTCATAGATGAATAGACTAAGGCTAAGAGGCAAAGTCACTTTGGCTAAATTCAAAACTAGAGGCAGGACTCCCTGACGCCACAGCCTGGACAGATCCTTTGATCCATCTACTGACCACAACAAATGAAAGGCTTTGCTACCATGCTAAAAGTATTCTGTGTATGTTTGGCATCTGGAATTGGAACTGAGGAGCTGCCAGTACACAGTGTATTTTGTTGGGTCTTCTTTAATGCTCCCTGCCTGGGAGACCATAATAGCAGCACCCAGACCAAAGGACTGCAACCCAAGGTCCCAAAGCCCCAGACCTGGAGTCTCTGTGTGACTGTGACCAGGTCATCTCAGGAGTTCCTCACAGATGACATGAACAGCAAAGACTACACAACTTCCTTCTCTGTTGCTTCAGTGTCTCTTGTCAAGGTTAGGATGGCCCAGATGATGGCCTCTCAGTTGGTATGAACTTGGAGACGTCTCCTTTTCTGACAGTGCTACTAAAAGGCTCAGAATTGCACTTCCTGTCACTAGGAGCCAAATTATCAAAACACAATAAGACATTGGTGTTAATGGTTACTGTATGTATAAGCACTATACTCGTGCACAAACATGAACACATCTCACATACGTGCAAGGAACTTGTATAACACACATGTAGCTATAAATACATATGTACCATCTGTTTACATAGATATAGTTATGTGTTGTGTGTATAACACTAATCAATTTTATCCATATTTCTCAAGTAACTTTGGAATGAAAAATGACTAGACAAATACATTTAATTTTAGAAAGTATTAAAGTAAAAATTAGGAACTTTTAAATAGCTAATTGTTAGAGTTTTCTTAAAGGACAAACAAACTACATCCAATCTCTTCTGTGCTATCTACTGGTAACTGGCCTTTAGGAAGAATTCTCAGGTGCGTGGGGTGCTGACCAAGAAAGCATGAACAACCAGGTAATACATATTTCAGTTCGGCCTGTGCCTTTGCCACTTAGGGGTTGAACAAAGTGGGTTGGGTGTTGTTTTCTGAGTCTGAACTAGAGTGTAACATGAGGATGGTGATGCCTACCGCACACAGATGGTGTGGCTCTCCTTGTCGGAGGCAGTGCCACCCTGGCTTCACCCCACCGCACTCTTTCACCCCAATCAGCTACGCAGGAGAACGCCAAATGTGTAAAAACTATGCACATTGGCTCTGCACTCTTTAAAATGGAGAAGGAAATGAAGTTTAAGTAAAACATTCTGAAGCCTTCCATTCAGTAAAGCCATTCTGCCACAGCGCGCTCACTCTCTCAGCAAAATCACTCTAACCCAGGTAGCTTGGCCATCCCACCATGAATGCTTTTTCCTCTGAAGCCCTTCCTCACATCCCTTCCCCATAAGCCATGACTTCCTAAGGACTCGTCTGGTTCAGTGCTCACATTTTAATAGTTTTCAAACCACATAGCCCAGTGTCATGGAGAGACAGATCTACTGGTTTGTTTATAGAAGTAAAACCCTTGATTTGTTCTTTGTTTCTACAGTCTAGACAAGATTCAAGCTATAGGCAAGTATATCTTAAATTTTCTGTAAAGAGCCTGATGAATCCTCTTAAGGGAGAACAATCCACGAATTTGGCAAACCTTACTGGGCTGTTTAGGTTTGTCAACTTTGTATAACCTGGAGACACCTGCAGTCTCAACTGAGGAATCGCCTCCATCAGATTGGCCTGTGGGCATGTCTGTGGGCCACTGCCCTGATTGAGAATTGATGTACGAGGGTCTAACCTACTGTGGACGGCGCCATCCCTAGGCACATAGAAATGGGCTGTGTAGGAAAAGGACCTCAGCATCCATGGGAAGTATATCAGTAATCAGTGCTCCTGCATGGTCTCTGCTTCAGTTCCTACCTTGAATTTCTTCCTCAGTGTCCCTTGATGACGGTCTGTAAGTTGTAAGCCAAAGAAACCCTTTCCTTCCAAAGTTGCTTTTGGTCAGTGTTTGATCACAACGACAAAAAGCAAACTAGAACACCGGCAATCTACATGTCAGTGTGTCAGGCCATCTCCAGCTCTTTAGGGAGAAGTGAAGCAAAAGCATCCATTCTGTCTTAGGGAGACTGGAAAACACAGGTCCCTGTGTATCTACTCTTTGAGAGCATCACATACGACTTGCCATCTTCCGGGAGTCCCAGACATCTAGGGGAACAGTCTATATTTAGGAGGATTTTATTGGCTACTGTATCATATAGCTCACCAAATATCCAATAAATATCCTCTGACAGAGAGGCAGTGATACAGAAACAAGCCCCTCCTCCAGCAGAGGGTTCTGGTCCACTAGGGTGGATGAGCCAACATGGAGTGAACGGTGGTACAGGTCAGATAAGTAGTGAGCTGTTTGGTAGAAGAGAAGTGCGTGAAAAGAAAGGCCTGCTTTCAGAGTTAAAAAAAATATTTCTCTTGATTTTTTGGGAATTTCCTATAATGTATTCTGATAGTACTCAGAGTCCCAACCCCACGTGTCCCGTCCCACCTTACTAAGTATCCCTTCATGTCCTCTATTATTATTTTTTAAGGCCTACCAAGTCTAAGTTCTCTCTGCAAATGCTGTTGGGTGTGGGTCCATCTCTGGAGTGTGGCCAATCTGCCTGGTGTCATGCCCTTAAAGAAAACTGACTCTTTTTCCAGCAGCTACCAGTTGGCAACAGTCCCTTAGCTAGGTTTGGGACCTCTTATCCACCTTCCTCCTTCTATGCTGGGATTCTTTCCAGCCTGAGCTTGCACAAGAAAGTTGAAATGAACTACATTTTCATGTCCTTAGTTACAACTGTCAACTGTCAGCTGGTGGTGATTCTCCTGACTTTCTGTGGCACACTGTGGGGTTGTGGTTATAACCAGCTGCACCGGCCATGAGCCACATTGCAGTAGTAAAACTTTGTGCCCAGGAATGATTTTTGTTCTTTGGCTGATCTCACCTTTTAAATTCTTTTGAGATGACTTCATGTTTTTCCTCTGTTAGGGAGATTTCCCAATGATTTTTTCAGGAAAATGAGTAAACATTTGTCCAATTAATATCTACCTAAAGTGCAGTCCCCTTAAAGTACAGTCCTATGTCAGTCACCCTGCTGTCTACAGTGAGCATATATGTGTCAGCATTTGCCAAACCCAACAAACCATCCTAAAGCTGTGATTAAGCCATAATCATCCGTTTTTCCTCCTGAACCAAGAGGTTGTGCTGCACACAGTGGACTTGTGTGAGTCCCTGCTGTGTGTCTCTCTCACCCTCCCACAGAGGCCAGTAGCTGACCAGAGAAAGTCTCTTCTTATTGCAATGGTATAGGTATAGGGACTAAGGCATGTGAGGCAAAGTTGGGACCAACATATGGTCACATGTGCCCACATGCCATTGATCAAATGCAAAGCAAATTTCTGGGAGGCACACTGCCCCACAATGAAGTAACAGCTAGGATCTGATGTTGTATGAAGCACTGGGGTTAGTCCTTCACTCCTCCATGGACTCATCCACCCTTCTGAACTTGAAACCCTGGTGAAGGAAGTGGGGTGCAGAAACCAGCCTGCTCCTGTATCATCTGCCTCTCTGACAGGTGGGACATATGTATTGGCTCTTTGATGAAGTCCAAAAGATGTTTCTGGTTCTTTTCTTTATACCAGAGATTAGCAGACCATGGCTACTGGGGCAAGCCTCATTTTGTACAACTGCCTAGCTAACATATAAATGATTTTTTTAATTAAAACTAAAATGGAGAGTTTGGAGAGATGGTTCAGCAGCTCTGAGTGCCCGTTCTGCTCTTGCAGAGGACACAAATTGATTTCAGCACCCATATCAAGATGGCTCACAACTGCCTGTGACTACAGTTCCAATGGGATCTGAGTCTTCTGTCCTCCAATGGCATCTGCACTTGTGTGCACATACCCTTCACACACACACACACACACACACACACACACACACACTCAATTAAAAATAAAATGTTATCTTTAAAAAACCAAAAAGGAAAGTAGTGTTTAATAATTTTTTGACATTCAAACTTTAGTATCCAAAAACCAGATTTTTTTTTTTTTTTGGTCTTTTTGAGACAGGGTCTCCCTGTAGCCCCAGCTATCCTGGAACTCACTATGTAGACCAGGCTGGCCTTGAACTTACAGAGATCTGCCTGCCTCTGCCTCTCAAGTGCTGGGATTAAAGGCCTGGGCCAAAAACCAGGTTTTATTGGAACTCAACCCAACCACACCCCCTGCCTCTGTCTGTGGTCTGTTTCAGATCTGTAATGGCAAGGTTGGAACTGGAGTTTCCATAGAGACCACATGCTCCACAAAGCCTAAAATATTTACTCTCTAGCCTTTCACAGAAAGTGTTTGCCACTCCTGTTTTACAGAACACAGAGGGTGAGTTGGCATTACAGGGGAGTGAGTGAAAGGGTCTTGACCACAGATGTGCATTGGATTACTTCTGTGCTTATTTGGTTGTTAACTTTTCCTCTTTCCTCCTTAGTAACTGGTCACCAGATATATCCATGTTCCACTGATCGGGAGGCATCCCTGCTGCTGCGCTTCATGACCCAGGGACGTGTGACCCAGTGAAGTGTCCATGGTGTCCAGCATGGCCGTGGTGCTCCTGGGCGCCGTGCTGCTGGTGGCCCACCCCCAGCTCGTGCCTTCCCACCCGGCCGCACCGGGACCCGGGTCTGGGTCTGGCCAGCAGGAGCTTCTCCGGAAGGCGGATACCCTCCCCGAGGACCTCAGAGAAGCGTCAGCAGCCAATGGCTCCTCACAGCAGCTGCCACAGACCATCATCATCGGGGTGCGCAAGGGTGGTACCCGTGCGCTGCTGGAGATGCTCAGCCTGCATCCCGACGTGGCGGCCGCGGAGAACGAGGTCCACTTCTTCGACTGGGAGGAGCATTATAGCCAAGGCCTGGGCTGGTACCTCAGCCAGATGCCATTCTCTGCCCCGCACCAGCTCACGGTGGAGAAGACCCCCGCCTACTTCACTTCGCCCAAAGTGCCTGAGAGAATCCACCGCATGAACCCGTCCATCCGCCTGCTGCTCATCCTGCGGGACCCGTCTGAGCGCGTGCTGTCTGACTACACCCAGGTGTTGTACAACCACCTGCAGAAGCGCAAGCCCTATCCGCCCATCGAGGAGCTCCTGGTGCGCGATGGCCGGCTCAACGTGGACTACAAGGCCCTCAACCGCAGCCTGTACCACGCGCACATGCAGAACTGGCTGCGCTTCTTCCCGCTGCGCCACGTCCACATCGTGGACGGTGACCGCCTCATCAGGGACCCTTTTCCCGAGATCCAGAAGGTGGAGAGGTTCCTGAAGCTGTCGCCGCAGATCAACGCCTCGAACTTCTACTTTAACAAAACCAAGGGCTTCTACTGCCTGCGGGACAGCGGCCGGGACCGCTGCTTGCACGAGTCCAAAGGCCGGGCGCACCCCCAAGTCGATCCCAAACTGCTGAACAAACTGCACGAATACTTTCACGAGCCAAATAAGAAATTCTTCGAGCTCGTGGGCAGAACATTTGACTGGCACTGATTCACTATCAGCTAGGCTCGGAACTTATCTGTTGTAACTTCTGGTGTACATCTGAGGGGGGATAAAGAGTTTTCAAAGGGCATTTAAGCTATAATTTATTTGTAAAAAAAAATCCATAAATTACTTCTGTACAGTATTAAATCCACAATTGCCATATATACTAGTTCTATTTTTCTACTTGTTAAATGGAGGGCGTTTTGTATTGTTTTTTCATGGTTGATAACATTGTGTAATACGTCTCTATAATATGAAGGAACTAAACTATTTCACTGAAAAAAAAAGATTTTTCTAGAGAAATCTGTCTTTTTTTTTTCTTAAATATAGTTAACTTGCCCCCAACTCAAAATAGCTGTCTGTTTGCGTCCTCCTTGCTGAACCTATATTCTTTTTCTACTTAAAAGAAGTTTACTTTGAGTACTATGCCTCTTTTCTTCCTTCTTTTCTGAATTTGCTCTCTTAATTTTTAATGCCTCACTGTTTTCGTCAGACTTACTTTTTGCTTGCAGTGTAAGATTCTACTTCACTGAGATTCTCTGTTCTTTGGGGAAACAGCAGTTTTACTCATTCCCAAGGTCAGCCTACATGTCCTGGGTTTTAACCCAGATCAGCTCCCAGTGGAAAAGCTAGTGTTAAGGATGGCTAGTGATGAGCAGGTAATCAAGCGGTTTCCCAAGACTGAACTTTGTCTCAAGGAATATTTGCACATACTTCTGATCTCAGCAATGGGCAAAATCTTTAATAAATAAGATTAAACCCTTGGCTTTCAGAATGATCTTGGGACTGTGAACTTTGCCCTTGGGGACAGTTGGCCTCTGGAAAGCCATTTATGACAGAGAAGGGAGCCTGAAAAGTCTATGTGTCTCCATCCTGGGGTTAGGAGTGAGGCTGAGAAATGGGTAGTCTTTGCTCACTCTGGGAGCTTGTGGTCCTCTACCCGACACTCATAGAAACAGAAACGTGTACACATCTTAAAATGGATTTCATGGCTGGAGTCCTGAAAGTGAAAGAAAGTTTAAACTCTTCTGGGTGTAAGTTAAGATGTGCAAAGGTCACCACACCAAACCTGTGCACCTGCACCCAGAAATGGGAGTTTCACTTCTCCTTGAAACAGCCACAGACTGGTCACATGACCCAAACCTCACCCCCGCCCCCCCACCCCACCCCACCCCCGTTGTCCTGGAACAGCCACAGCCACAGACTGATCACATAACCCAACTCTGACGCCCTATGTTGTCCTGCATTCCTGTCCCTCAGCTTTTGAATGTTTGAAATTCAATAGATTAGAATTTTCTTAGGAAGGTAAATCCTGATCTTTACAATAAGACGGGGCAAGCAAAATAAAGCTGTTTCCTGACAGTTTGTTCTTAAGGAATAGAATAGAAGTAGCCATTATTGATTATCTTCCATACCTAAGAACTTGCTGGAATTTCCCCCAAGCAAACTCAAGATGAAGGAATTACTGTGGCAGGTTCAAAGGGGAGGGAATAAGCCCAAGGACAGAGAATTTTATTCAAGGTCACATAGGCTATATTGGGTTTGGAGCCCAATTGCAGTCAAACAACAGCCTATTAATTTATTTTCTTACTTCTACTCAGCTGTTTCTGAATTCTAAAGAAAAAGCTCAGACTCAGAGACTGGTTTTCTGACTTGACCTGAACTTTTTTCCTGGTGCTGAAAGTCTTCTGTGCCCAGAGGTGTGCCTGAGCTAGAAGAAGGTCAAGGAGGAACTTGCATTTTTCTCAGCAGCCTCATCAGGGAAGTGAGTGACCTTTGTTGTATTTGAGCAGCTCCAGCCAGACCTGATCCTGGTCTGACCCATGCCCCATCCCAGAACAGGCACTGACAACAGAAAGAATGCCCTCTTCTTCCAAACTCATTAAGGTTGTCATTTAACCATCATCTCTTCAGAGGGAGGAGCAGAAATAGTTCTATCAGGCTTCCCTTAGACATGGTACTTTTCGAGATACAAAGTGCTTCCCTCTGCAGCACACCATGGGGATCTTTTACCTCATTTAATACCTGAAGAGAGGACTCAGAAAAGTTAAATCAGGCTTCCAAGGCTGTCCAGGGATGTGGTGACTGAAAGAAACCATCAGGGAGAACATCTGATGCTGAGAGTATGCTGTTTGTAAACCAGCCATGACTGATGCCTTTGCCTTGATGGAGAGGATACAGTTGAAGCCTTGAGTATTGCAGCCAGGGAGGTTGGGAATGAATGAGAGGAGTCAGGAGCAGCAGCACGGATAAGCCTAAGCTGTCAGAGCTGGCACTGCAGATAACATGAAGCAGAACACGAGGCAGAACAACATAACTGGTTAGTGGGTGCAAACTCAATTAATTATTGAATTGGAGCCACAGAGGCATGATTCAGTGAATCTTCAATCAACACGCCAGGAGGAAAAGCGTAGGGTCCCAGGACAGCACACACTCACTCTTTGTTGACAGAAGTCCAGCTAGTCATCGGTAGGGTCTGAGCATTGTCACTTCCCTCTTTGCCCCGGTGTATGCAGTTCCCACTCCAGCACTGTCACATCTGGATGATGCTGCAATAGACCCACAGAACGCAGTGAGTCAAGAGTCAAATGGCATTTGGTCCATTCTGAACTTGCCTATGCAATCCTGCCAACAAAGAGGCAGTTACCTGACAGAGGGGGTAAAGTTCTTGCCCCACCCCAGGCCTGAGCTGCCTGAGGGTCTTCATGTGTGTTCTTACAGACAGGCAGCTGAGAGCTACTGAGCCACGCAAGCCTCACCTACCAGGCAGGGATTCAGAACAGCACCTGCTATTCCTCACTCCAGGAAACAAATAGTGTTGAAGTCCTCTTGACACTATGCGACTATCAGCTCACAGTCTGAAAATTGGCCAGTTGAGGAAAAACTATGATGTGCCTCCCAGCTCAGGCTGCCTTGCCCCTTTTATCGAAGAAGACTGTTGCTCAACAGAGAGAAGATGGAGGAGGGCAGAGGAGGCCAGTGCCCACCGTGACTGTTGCTTACAGGGGTGAGGTCAGAGGTCACCATCATTCATTAAAATGGTACATTCTGAGTCTCTAATATGTACCAAACATAATATTAGGTAGTCAATAATATAAAAAATGCAACAAGCAATAATAATCATTAACTGTTTGGGGCTTTAATTAGAAGCCAAAAAAGCATTAAGTGAGTGAGAGAACTGACCTTGAGCTGTGTCTGTAGACTAGACAAACAGCACTTTCTTTAGTTTGGCATCAACTGAGCTGTGTATAGATGAGGCAAACAGCACTTTCCATAGCCTGGCATCCATTAAACCACATATTTGGGAAGAATCAACTAGTCCTGGTACAGAGAGAAAGAATGACTTGTAAACGATTGTCCTGCCTACAAGTCATTTTTTTTTAGAAGAAAGAAAAAAGAATATTGCCCAAACAGCACACAGTAAAGCTAGAACCAAAGTCACTAGCCTGAAGGCCACAGAGATTCTGCTGGTTTTTCAAGAAGATTTTGGGAAGGAATTTCCCTGGAGCCAGATCATGGAAAGATAATGCTGTTCCGAAAGGGGGAAATCCTGGGCAGGCCAAGAAGTTGGTGATGGGGAGGGAAAGAAGAAGGGAAAGACTTGTCTAGCAAGTGTACAGAATGAATTAAACTTGCTGACCAGCCAAGAGCCATTAGCCCCTTAAATCCTTGGCAGGTGCTTTTCCAAGATGGAGCTGTTGAAAGCTTAACAGGCTGCCATGTGTCTTGACTCCTGTAGGCACATGTGTCTGTTGCACAAAAAATAACTGTCACTTCTTACACACTTGCTACGTGCTTGGTATTGTAAGTAAGTTCCTTTCTGGGGACTAAGAAATAGTGCCCTAATTTTATAGAAGAACAAACTCAAACTCAGAGACTAAAGAGTTTGCCCCTGACCACAGAATACTGTTACATTCCTCATGTTCTGCCGCTAATCGATTACAGCACATCCCATTGCCAGTAAAGAGAGGAAGCACAGCCTAGTCCTCTGTCAAGGAGGCAGAGCATACCATGGAGATTATAAGCATGTAGGATGGGATGTTGGACACAGGGGTGGTGAAGGTCCCCTTCAGTGAAACCATGCCTGGCATGTAAGATGTGAGGGATGACCTCTATCATGTTGCTACTGGTAGAAGTTCAAGGGAAATCCAGAGCATGAACTAAAGGCCAAAACACATGTGCCTCAACAGTGAAAAGGCATAGTCCAGAACCTTAACTCACCACTTCAGCCAGATACTTGACAGAAATATATTGATGTAAGAAGGAGTCCTGGCTGTTCAGGTCACACTGATGCTAAGATTTCTCCATTTCCCCCTCAAATTCCAGAGTTAGGTAAAAGGAAAGAAAAAGCTAATAGAGTCAGGAGACCTGAGTGTGAACAGTTATTGACTATGTGGCCTTTGGTTCAAATTCTCAGAGCCTTAATTTCCTTTTTGGTGAAAATGGACTGATCCTTCATTCTGTCTGGGGAAAAAAAGTCAATGAGATAAAAACATAAAGACAATTGAGTTGGCACATATGTGATTTAGCTATAAAGAGAGTTTAGGGATTTGGGAGATGGACAAGAACTGATTTTGAACCAGTCAGCAGAAATATGTTGTCTTTTTTCCCTACAACCAATACCCAGCGATATGACTCCAGCTGTTAGTGCCCCAGCCAGATCCTGCTGGCCAGAGCCACATTCCATCCTCCATCTCCAAGGGCTGGCTACAACAGGTAACCTAAAAGTGTGTTCTGAAGGTTTTCCATTAGCAAGAATCACCTTACAGAGATGGCTGCAAAGCCAAGCACTCTTTCTTGGGGGTAGCAAGTTACTAATATTTGACAGGTGTGTGGAGGGCAGAAGGATGGAAGGCACACAACTCAGCCTCCTTGCCTCTGGGCAGATTACCTCCCTAGTACCGCTCCTGAAATCAGGCTGGGGTAGACCGCTCCCCAAACCTGCTTGGTTTGCCCATTCCCTCACTGCCTTCGCCTCTCCTCGGTGAGTGATTTGCTACAAAATCCCTACCTCATAATTTTTCCAGGACATCCAGTGTAAGACAGTAAACCTGCATTCGTGTCTGTGAATTTCATATGGCTGACATGGCTAACCTATTACCATAATTTTTTTATTGGCTAGCATACACATACAAGTATTAAACACAGTAGAAGATGAAAGTGTTACCAAACAAACTCTTTTCCTTGGATTATTAAGACTATGAAAACATTGTCAATGCAGCCAGGCCATGGTGGCACAAGCCTGTGATCTCAGCACTTGTGAGTTTGAGGCAAGAAGATCATGAGTTCAAGGC